CACAGATTAGGTTATCGTTGCAGAGCAGCTTGACGGAAGCTCTTATTAAGACCTGTCAACATAGTCAGACGAAAGAAGTGGGCAAGTGATATGATGACCAAGTATCTGGACTTTTGGAAGACCGTATTGTTCTCAGACAAATCAAGATTCGCTCAATTTTCGGACAGTGGAAGGATATGGGTCTGGAGAATGCCTCACCAAGAGTTTTGGCTCAACAGATTGCAGCCAACTGTGAAGCATGGTGGTTTCAGCATGATGGTTTGGGGAGCTGTTTGGGTTAGTGGAAGATCGAGCTTAGTGGAGCGTGTTGGCAACATAAAAGAAGCGAAAGGAAGATCTACTAGATATTAATTAAATTATAAATATATCAATTCATGTGAATATGACTGAAAAATTTCATTTTTTCTGAAAAGGTGGTGGCTATTTACTTGTGACCACGTTGTGTATATGATAAAAGGATATATATATATCAACTGTAATGAAATCTAAAATGTATTCTTATATGTATGTATCACCAGCAAAAATATTTTGAAATTCTCTCTATCTGACCACATTACAACTATAATAGTCTTACAAAATTAAACCCAAAAAATCATTTAATTCATTGTATTTTATTTATACATTAGACAATTGTTAAAAAAATCAGCATAATGTTTGTTCTCTAAGTTGTAAAATACATAAAACAACAGCCTACTTCCTACAGTATTCTCAAAATTAATGAAATAATATTGTAATTATTCAGTTACTACCAGAACATATAAACAGGTCAAGTAGCTATAACAACATAGATCACATTTTCAATGAGTAATCAAAACAAAATTAGTGAACAGATTGCTTACTTGCTTATTAAACTATGGTTAGCTAATGAAGGTCTAGATATTGGCATATTAAGCAAATCCAGCTAATTATCTTAACTAATTGTTTAGTAAGAAAATATGGTTAATACTTCAGTAAAAATGTCATGCTGATAGCTTAGTAAGCAACTAATCAGTTCTAGGTAATATTGTAGAAAGTGAATCTACTTAGAATCACCATCAAGTAATTCTAGATAATACCTTACCAAGGCCAAGTTAACTGTTTAACAAAAAAGTTTTAGATAACAGTTTACAAAGCAAGTGTTGACACAAATTACCCTACACATACATACAGAATCAGCAACCTGGACAAAACTAATCTACTGATTTGTTATGTTCAATTAAGTAGAATTCACACCTTTATGATGTTACACAAAAGTTATTCTAAAAAACCACGTTTATATAAAAAAAATTAAACAAATTTGGTGAAAATTCACCAAATGAAATAAATTCCTTTAAAAAAATTTTTGTTTCCTATACACAAAAAAAACTCCATTAATTTTCACATTATAAGAATTTTTTTTCTTCTGCATACTTTGCATTAATACAGAAAGATTTCATAAGGCAATTAAAAAGTAACGTTAAAAATGACAATTATTCTAACCTGTGCAATATGGCAGTAGGATTTACAAATAAATTGATATCTATTTAGTAATTTCAATTATAAGATTTTTTTACCTGTTTGCTGAAAATATGCTGTTATAATGTGCCCATTTCACTTATCATGTTTTTTCACCAACGGCTACTTAATAAT